GAAAGAAACTCAGACTCATCCAGACTCTCACTTGATCCACAGGCGCTGGATTGGGCGCTGTCGATTCTCCTCAAAGCAGCGTCTTTCTCAACATGTTCAATCAACTGCATTCGTCCCCATCCCCGTCCTGATCCTCCTGTCGGATTGCTTCCACAGCTGTTCGAATCTCCGCGTGAATCACCTAACAAAACTTGCTCCATCTTGCTCCAAGACTCCTATCCCAAAAGAGTGCTGCATAAAGGAAAGCCAAGGGGAAAACAAATGAAACATGGCATGGCAGGACGGTTGCGCCTCCATGTCCCGTGCTCCATCCACATCTCTCCAGTTCACTTGTGCTCGAAGTCGAGCATCCTTGAACTGAGTGCGAACAGTAGCCTCCGCGAAAGGAAAGGAGAAAAACTGAGAACACTGTGTAATTGTGTCACAGAGATTGGACTTCGCTTGATTTCACTGACACTACTAACACCTTTTGCAATGCCTGCATGTCTGCATTCTCGTAACGCTCGTCACCAAAGTTTGATCGCGAGGCACCAACCTGTTAGCACATGTGGTGAAAACCAGCATGACCTGATATGACCTGATCATTAGTCAATTGACGCTTGCCTTTTCGTCGATGTACAGAAAGAAAACTCCATCTGGACATGGAAGCCCTCGGTCTGGAGCTTGACACCAGGAAAAGTCCAAACCTGGAAAGAATGGATGATTTTGGATGATTCGTGCAAACAGAATCTAATATCACTGGCCTTTTGCCGCAGAATACGCTACCCCAGAGAAGGCGTAGCGGTCGCAAATGATGGTGGTACCAGCACGAAGGTCCTGGAGCACAAGGCTCCATGGAGAGGGGTAAGAACATGTAAGAACAAGAATGTGTTTCGTGTTTGAGGACCTGGCTCCTTGTAAATTAACAAGAATGTGCTTGAAGTGTTCGATTTAGGTCTTGCCTCGACGATGGATTTAGCCATCTCCCAGCGATTGGCCTCGCATGCTCAATGAATCATTGAGTTGAGTCACTAAGTCTTGCTCATGAATCTCTTCGATCCGCACACTGAAAAGTCGATGAACCGCTTCATCTGGAAGCTCCAGTTGCCTAAAGCGGACAGGTTGACAAGTTGGAAAACATGAGAACTGTCAAAACAGCGGCAGACAGTGCGTACCTCCGCAAGTAAAGATCAATGGCGCTGCCAATGGGCGTCTTCCGGTTTGGGAAGCACATCCATTTCACTGGGCCAGGTCCCACCTGTCACAAGCAAAGCCTCTCCGGTCATATGTAGGCCGCAGCGCCCCAGGGGCACGTCCCGTCCAGCCTTTGACAAATATTCTTCGAGTTTCTTGCTTTGGGTGGACTTGCCACTGCGATCAAGACCTCGCCACTTCAAACCAGCGATGGCCTCCAACCTATTATCAAACTATATTAGACCCTTACGTCCTTGCTTTTTTCTGTGTTTAATAGCGATGGCCTCCAACCTAAGAGCGATGGCCTCCAGCCTATGAGAGCGATGCCTTTCAAGGTCTTTCTAATCTTAGCCCACCTTCGAAGACGAAGAAGAGGCCACGGGAAGAAGCGGACCCCCAAGATGGTTTCTCCTGTGACAACCCAGAGGTATCTGAAACATGTTTTAGACTGATCACATGGTTGCAGGTCAAAGCATTACCAAGTGCATATGCTGAAATGAACACCATTTGTGTCCAACTGAACACCTTTACTTTTCTTTTTGGTGCATCTAGGCTTTGACGAACACACCCACATGATTCATGGCGCCTCTGCCGACAAGTCTTGGAGCTTGAATGCATCTCTCACTCTGGAAAGCTCAACCTGATTATGTCTCACTCTGGTTTCACATGGTTTCACACACCTTGAACACGGTCTGAATAAGCATACGACATGCTGCAGAAATCAAGCGAACAGGCCAAGTGACATCGGTGAGACCTGGCTGGTTGGCGCTTTGACGCGCTGCCAGGACCTTTTCAGAACAAATGTCTCTTTCAGATTCAAATTTTGTGGAAAATGAAGGGAGAGCAATAAACTACTCAGCCACCAGCGTGTTTCATCCTGAGTCCGGGCGTTTCGATACTCCGTGTGGGTGAAAAAGTCCTTCAGCTTCAAAAACATCTGGGCATCTGGCAGAGTGTCAGACGATGTGGCAGTTTCCTCAAATCATACACCCCAACTACCACGCGCGGAAGATGAACAAAATTCAGCTGATGCCACAACACATCTACATCATCACAACAAGGGTCACCAACTCCAAGATAGGTTGCCCACGCTGGTTTGCACAAAATAATAAGGCTAACCCGGTTAGCCCCTGCAATGCAAATAGTTCGAGATGATTTCTCACAGCAAAACACTCAGCTCCCTGCGAACTGCAGTGTGAATATTTGCCAGCAGCTCCTAGACAGAGCTTTCCCCATCAGTCCGTCCAGCCCTGGTGGCAGAGAGTGTAGACTACCGTGTCTGGCCCAGTCTTGCTGTTTTGGATTGGATTAGGATGAAACTTCAACTTCAGTCAGTGCAGCTTGTGAAGTTCAAAATAACCATTGATCATTCTTGCGGATGCAAAATTGACAAGCTCACGCTATGGAAGCGAATGGCAAAGCACATGGTCTTCGATGCGGATGGTGTTTTGCAGATTCGAGAGTTGGAAAAGAAATACGCACGGATTTCTGCGTTCGCAGACAGCTCTCAAAGCGACGCAGCTCGCGCCATGGCCATAGGCTACCCATGTATCTTACCTATCTGCCTTCCCCCGTCCCGCAATCGCCTCAAATCGCTCAGGTCTGAGCGGTTTCCGCTGGGCATGCGAATTAATCTATCTCATCTTGTTGGATATCAACAATCTTGCGCAGTGGCACAACGTCAATAAATACACAAGAAAATACATGCGAAACTTGTAGACCATCTCCCCGGTAACTAGCTATTGAAAGAAACTCAGACTCATCCAGACTCTCACTTGATCCACAGGCGCT